AAACGGCCACGGCACAACGCGCCCTGTCAGTGACCTAAAAATATTCACTTCAGGGTGGTGGACCTCAATCACATCAAAATCCCAACCCAAAACCGAAGAAACAGCAGCAAACAGAAACTCAAAAGCCCTAACCTGAGAAACCAGAGTGCGATTGAGTAAACCACCTGCGTGTAAAGAATGCACAGCTCGCCACTGCTTATTCAAACTTCCCACTTGAACCGGCAACGACAAACCAGTGTGACTAGAAAAGGCAACAAACATCTCCAGGAAGGAGACAGTGTGCTTGTATATAAATGATCAGAGTAGTTCTAAAGTGGTGACGGTGATGAGACCGCTCCGAATTCCAGCAACAGCTGAGACCCGAGGAACCCAGCAGTTCTTTTTGATAGATATAACCTTTCTAAGGAAGAAACATGAATAAACAGGGATTGGACATCACAAATCCAATCAATCCACTAGTTCCCTGTGGCATGTGACCTGAACTCCAGATTCTTGACCTGCCCACAAAGAACTTTCCGCACCAATTTCATGCGAGGGTTCGTTTGGTAGTAATTACAGCTCTTTGTTTGCTGGTCTATGATCATGCGATTTGCAGGAGAGACGCCCCAGAGTACGCCACGCCACTGTCCAGGCATGTGCACATTCCGCACGAGAGCTTGGTCACAGAGTCATAGAGTCTTCTCAACAAGAAGAGACTTTCAATATTTTTCAATAGAATCCACCACTGCCACCACCCAAGGACAGCTTCATTGACCACCCTCACCATCCAAAGAGTACACGCAGGTTATCACAGAATAGATGTTTATGCATATGGACAATATGCAGCTGATCAAACAACAATGAAAGGATCAGCCGATATTTATTTCATCAAGCAAGTGTCCTGGTCCATTGAAAGTCGTTTACATAGTCCTCTTATCCTTGTGGGTTGGGAGAGGTTCTAAAGATCTGGACTGGAGAACAACACCGAAAGTTAATTACGTGTCTTTCATCGGAGATGGCAGGCACGACTGCAGGTTGTTCCGCCAGTCGGGATTGGATGGAAGATGCTCTTGATTGATATTTGTTGATCAGTTCCGAGGGACAAAAACGAGACGGTGACAGTTGCTTGGATGGATGAACATCCAACCCCCTCCTGATCCCAACCCCCCGATGCGCTTGCGCGCCGCAGCCTCGACCCATGTCCAGCGGGTCCTCGTTTGGAGCCTCAAAGGTTGCAGCACATGGCGAGCAACATCGGTGAGTCCCGTTGCCACCAACCTAATAGATTTAATATGATTTAATGTTCGTCCAGTGGTCAAACTTGAGATTCCTTTTATCTGAAGACATGGCGAGAGGGCGCTAAGTCAAAAGCATTTTGGTGTGGCGAGGTGGGTCGTGGTCAAACTAGGTCAAAATGAAAGATCCGCTGTGGCACAGGTGTCACAGAAGCGATCTTTCTCATGGCGCCACATTTGGCTTTGGAATGTTTGTGGTTTGGGAGAAGATCGACTCATTTGTTTATGTTTGTGTTGGTGTTTCTACCTTGGTTGTTTCCTGGATGTACAACTTATGTTGGGGAACAGGTAGCTGCCAACTTCTGTGGTCCAGCGCGTTTCATGTGTTTAGAGTATTTACATGTATCTATCGAACCCCTTTTGACCACTATGTTTTCTATTTGTATCTCTCTCGATATCCATTTTGTGTGCTTTTTTGGGTATCCTGTCGGACAGCACATTTGGAACACTCCTACGAGGCTTCCGAAACCCGCCGAACTCGTCACACATCGTTGGACCGCCCAAGTTCTCGTTGGACCGATGAAACTGGCGAACTCCGGGCCATCAGCTCCTGAAAAGTAGTGCCATCTTCCAGTCAGGGTTGCGTTTTGTAAGGCATCGAGGCACTGTGATGGAGGTGGATCTGAGAGTTGAGGCGGCGGGATCTCAGTTCGAAGAAAAACAAGTGGGATTTGGACAGAGACCAGAACTTGTTGGTTTCCCGTTAAGGCCCGAAAAGAACACAAAGAGAGTCAAAACTGTTTGTCAGGAGCTGCTTGTCAAGGTTGCTGGAGTTCAAGTTTGTGATTTATGCAACATTCAACGCCAGAAGACTGCTTTTGTTTGGAAAAATGACACATGAATGACAATCTTATTTGGGCAAATTAAGGCGAGCTCACCTGACGAGGTACGAGGTAGAATAATTTCGAAACGATAATAAGCGAGGTAAGTCCAGCAACAGCAGCAGCACAAAGGGTTTGAGCTTGTAAGGGCCACTGCTGGGCATAGCTTCCAGGAGCTACAGGGACTCCACTCACCATGCCACACAGAAGCCCCAAGAATACCAAAAACAAAAAACAACCTATTTTTAAGAAATAGGCCCGATTTTGATCTCAAGCATGCTTGAAGGGATTGGGGCTTGTAGAGGCCACTGCTGGGTGTAGCTTCCAGGAGCTACAGGGGATCCACTCACCACGCCACACAGAAGCCCCAAAAACACCAAAAACAAAA